TGTGCACTTCCATAGGAGGAAGCTGCTCCTCTTCAGCTGTAGTTGTCTCCATTGGTTGTGGGGCGGGCGGATTGACCGCCGACTCTTCTCTTGCTTCTTGGCACAGTAAGCTGGTGGACACTGTGCTGTCGGGATCCATGGAGAGCAGAGTCAGAGCTGCCTCTTTCATCTTCATATCAGCATCCTGAAGCTCCATCTCGGATGTCACATCCTCTCGGGTGTTCTCAGGTGGAAGTCTCGCCTCTGCTGACGTGCAGACGTCCATAAGAGTCAGCAGGGCGTCGGCCTCTGCAGGCACAGCTGGCATCTCGCACAGGCGTGACTCCGTCTCTCCCTCGGGCGGCTCGGGGGTGATGTCGCTCAAGGCGTCACAGGTATCGTCTGAGAACAACGTGGTGACGGTGGTGGTGACGGGATCGGAGTCTGTGCTTGTGTCTTGGAGAAGAGGTCGTTTCTTTGGCGGATCATCCGTCTCAAGACTCAGAGAGGAAACCGAAGGGGATTTATCCAACTTTTCCAGTTTCTCCTCTCTTGGTGCTTTCTCTTCTTGACTCTCATCTTTCTTTTCTGAAACTTTATCCTTCTTCTCCAGCTTTTTCTTTGCACTTTTACTGTCAGATCTCTCCTGTGAAGATTCTTCAGAGACTTTGCTCTGGTCTTTTGCATTTCCCTCTTTCTTCTTCTCTTTTGTTGCTTCAGGTTTGCTGACGCATGAAATTCCTGCACTTTTGACATCCGGACTGTGAACTCTCTTCTCCGTCTTTGGCAGCACTGGAGTCTTCGCCTCCTCTTTGGATTTTGATTTTGATTTTTCTAAAATTCTTCCTTTTTCTGATGATTTGACCCTTTTTGGATCTTTGTCACTTTCTGAGCTTGACCTGTGTAATTTCTGTCCATCTTGATCTGCTTTTGTTTTTTCCTTCTCGCTGTCTTTACTGTCAGTTTTAGATTTGAGTTTATCTCCAGGCCTGTCCTCACTGTGGCTCTTTGGCTTTTTCATGACGTCCTTGGAGTGTTTATCTTTCTTCTTGCTGCTGTTTGACTCAGGCTCCATGTCGGATCGATCCTCAGAGGAACCTGCAGAATCAGGGCGAAGCAGCTGCTTGAAATCACTTTTAACCGAGGTTCTCTCCCCTTTGGCCTTTTCCTTTTCTTTGATCTTATCTTTGTCCTTATTCTTGTCCTTCTCCGTTTTGATAGCCTCCACAGATGAAGTCTTCACCTTCTTTGGATCTTTAGAACCTCCGTCTTCAGAAACATTTTCAGACACCTTGCCTTCTTTTGTACTTCCTGTGATCTTCTTCTCACTTTTGATCTTGGGCTTCTTCTCAGCTTTCTCTTCAGAGGATACTTTAACAGCACTGCCTTCCTTCTGCTGAGATTCATCCGCCTGATGTTCAGATTTTTTCTCCTGCTTCTGTTTGAGCTTGGCACGTTCATCGGACAAGCTGCGTTCTTTCTCTTTGCGTTCTTTGGAGTGAAGCTCTTTGTGAGACAGACGGTCAAATTTTCCAACCGATCGTTGTCTGAGAGCCTCTTGGGAGCCTAGCTCCAGCTCCAAGATGAAGGAGTGTGTCCTTCCTTTGTCAGCTATCTTCTTTGCATCGCTGGAATCTTCTGAGATGCTGCCGCTTGTCCCTCTGTATCGCTCATCAGAATATGAAGGTTCAGACAGATTTTTCATCAGCTTATGTTGTGGTGTCTTTGAGGTGGTAGATTTCACTTCCTATTTTCAAAAATAAATGAAAAACACAGAGTTACAACTCGTGATGAAAACCTGATGCCTGAAATCTGTTTCATCAACGTTAGCTTTTACATACCGTTTTCTTTACAACGTCTCTCGTGTCTCCTTTCTTTTTGCCTGAAACATCTCCCTCTTTCCTTAAAAAGTAAAATTAATATGTTCATTTTTACGGTGTATATTAAGAAAAAAAAAAAAAGCATCTACTGTACAAATTGTGTCCAAGCCTTTACACACCTTGAGTCTAGTTTTCTCTTCCTGTTGAGAGCCATTTTTTTCTCCAGAACTTTCCTCTCTTTGCGGGCTTCTTTGGCTCCGGGGCCTTCGAGGGCAGCGGAGTCGCTGCTCTTTTGTTTTTTGTTATCTGTGGAAGACATTGAGCCTTTTACGTCATGCAGATGTTACAAGTACACAAAGTTATTTCCAGGAGAAAATAAAGGACAAATATGCAACCTGGCCAAGGGAATACAATTTACGGAGTTTGTGATGTGAAGTTTGAACTAAATATGAGTATAAGTTTTCTATTTTTGGACAACATCCAGACAACTCGACTGAAAGAAAAAAAAAAAAACAAAAAACAAAAACAAAACATGTGATCATCCCAAATAGATCAAAGGAAAACACAAAATTTGTAGGCACAAACAACTCTTTATTAAACTAATCTTTTGGGGGGGGGGGGTTGTGCTGTAAAAATGTAGCACGTCCCAAGTGTTATGTACACACAAAATGGTTTTCTCAGGACTCCATGCTGTCCTATAAATAGTTAAGTAGACCCTGTCATTCAGTAGCTTGTAGAACCACCTTTAGCAGCAATAAGTTGATATTCTAATTTTTGGAAGACTTTATCAGTCTCACATTTATCAATTTTATTTATATAGCACTTTATACTGTACGGTAGAGACCCTACTGTATTATTCTAGAGCAGGGCTGCCCAATCCCGGTCCTCGAGAGCTACTATCCTGCAGCTTTTAGATGCATCCCTACTCTAACACAGCTGAATCAAATGGTTTGATTACCTCTTCAGCATGCCATCATGTTTGGCAAAGGCCTGATAACAAGCCATTCATTTGATTCGGGTGTGTGGGAACAAGGATGCATCTAAAAGCTGCAGGACGGTAGCTCTCGAGGACCGGGATTGGGCACCCCTGTTCTAGAGGAATGCTATCTCACTGTTCTCTGCAGCATTGCTTCAGTTCATTGCGGTTTGCAGGCATTCATTCAGATCCCGCCACAGTCTTCCAGTGAGGCTCAAGTTTGCACTTTGACATTGCAACCTTGATTCTTTTCCAGTCATTCTTTTTTAGATTTGCTGCGGTGATTAGGATCATTGTCCTGTTGCATGAAATAGTGTCAGCTAAGTTTCAGCTGTCGGACAGATGGCCTAACATTTTAAATCTTGAACACTTTGGTATACAGAGGAGTTCATGCTGAACTCAATGACTGCAAGGCAGCCCAAATCGTCACCTCTCCATCGCCTTGTTTGACAGCTAATATGATGCATTTAGTTTTTGCAGGAATGGCACAATGCATTAGGGCTGAACACCTCCACCTCAGTCTTGTGGTTTAGGGGCAAGAGGCTTTCTCTTGAAAACCGTTCCTCCACAAGAGCCAAACTTGTGCAGCCTTTTTCTAAATGCACTGTCATTAATTTTAATGTTTAACATGCTAATTGAGGCCCGAAGAGTCTAGTTTTTGCATTTCCTCTGAACTTTGACCGCAGGGTGAAATTCTGGTACTGGCATTGAATCCTCCAGGCCAGCAATTTGGTAAGTCCTCTGCTATTTTATATGTGGGTGGACTCTTTGCAGTCCCGTGAAAGCATGGGGCAGGGAGTATATAACTAAACTAAAACAGTGGAATACACAAGATGAGGAAAATGAAGAAACACTGAAGGCCACAAGTGTGTATGACATAAAAACCTTGCTCTTCAGCCTGTGCTGCTTTCTGTTTGCGCTTCTCTTCCATTCGCTCTCTGTTCTGTTGTCTCTTGAGCAGCCGTTCTTCTTTGTCCTTCGCCTGGAAGGACCCCAGTTTGTTAAATAAATGTACTTAAAAGACAGCAGATGACACCATAAGACATAATGTGTTCAGTCTATAACCGTCCATTGATCTAAGCTTTTCATTTAACTAGAAAAAGTTTTAAATCTCTGCACGTAACATGTTAACATTTAAATAGCTCACCGCAGAACGACGACGTTCCTCCACAGTGATCTCATCATCTGAGTCGCTATAGTAACGGGAGTAGAGGAAGGGCTTGTGAACATAGGCCTTGCGGCGAGGTTTACGCTCTTTGTCTTCATCTCCTGTGTCTCCAGTGCTGTGTTTTTTTTCTTCCCTCTCACCTTCATCTGGGAGAAAAAGAAGCAAGTACATACAGAAAAAATATTTTAAAATATTTTCAAAGTGCTCCAACTAATGGTGATGTTATTCAAAAATAGAAAGCCTGCTGCCGGCAGAGACCATCAGGTGGAAGCTCGCCCTCTTCAGAAGAATCAGACAGCTGCTGCTCATCTTCACTTTCCCCCTCGAATGAGGACAGGTCGCTGGTGTGGACAGAGCTCACTGTGATGTCACTCAGACCTTCCAGGTCAGAGTCCTCCAAAGAATACTCTGCAGGAAAAAGGTACTTAGAGATTTTAAACTTCTTTTAAGTGTAAGTGTAAGATAAGATAAGGTAACGAAGTGAAAACCTGAATATCTTTTAAATTCTTCACTTGTCCAAATAAGCACAGAATCATGGCATCATCACATTTTTGTTGTGTAAAGTAAATTTGCATTAAAGCCATGTCCACCATAAGAAAATGCATATAAATCCCTTCCCTGTGACAAATATACAAAGTAATGTGAAGTAGGGAATGTAAATGCTGTATAGACAATCATACAATACAATAATTATGGTCTTAAAAAAACTGTTTATTAATACTCACAACTGTATATCTATAATCTGCTATAGATTTTCATATTTATAACCATACATATAACCTGTTCATAGCTTGTACATTCACTTCAGTTATAGCCTGTACATACTTATAGTCCTCTGTCAGTGCGCCCCAGGGTGGCTGTGGCTACAATGTAGCTGCCATCACCAATGTGTGAATGTATGGGTGGATGACTGGATGTGTAAAGCGCTTTGGGGTCCTTAGGGACTAGTAAAAGCGCTATACAAATACAGGCCATTTACCATTTATAGTTATAGTATATTCATAACACATCATATTATTGCTAAAGCACTTTCTGGATGGATGCAAACTGCATTTTGTTGCCTTGTACTTGTGACGTGTGCAATGACAATAAAGTTGAATTCTATTCTGTTCTATTCAATTCTATTCTATTCTAATGCTAAATAAATATAAAAACAAACAAAGGATGCTGCAGCTCACCTTCTTTTATCCTCTCTCTGGCCTTCTGTTTAGCCTTGCTTGTAGATTTCAATAGATCATCATCCTGTTTTTCTTCTGAGGGTTTTCCACTGACTTTGCCTGCTGTTTTATCCTTCTCATCCTCTGTCTGCTCCTGAGCCACAGACTCCTCATCTTCCATTTTCACATCCTCCTTTAACGGCTCTTTTCCCAGTTCCACCTCTTCCTGTGTTTCCTCTGTCTTTACCTCTAATGCCTGAACCTCAGCTGACAGTTTTGCTTCCTCTTCTTCTTCCAGTGGCTTTACCACTTGGTGACTGTCACCTTCCTCAACAATACTCATGTCCTGCTCGCTATCCTCCACCATCACCTGCATGAAGTCATCTGCCGATTGACTTTTACGTGCTTTTTCGGGTGCCGAGCTGGCTCTGACGCTAGCTTCTTGGTTTAGAGAAGTTATAGTGTCCAGGATGGACATGGCGTCGCTGGCAGTGGTAGTTGGAGTCGATGTTGAGGCTGTAAACATGAAATGACACTTGTTCAAATATTAAAATATTTGAGAGTAATCAAAGATATAAATCCACACGTGACATTTGCAAGCTGATAAAAATCATAAAATGTTGTGTACCCTGCTCAGGAATGCTGCTGTCTGGTTTGACCTCTGTTGAAAGCAGAGGGGCTGGTGGCTCCTCAGAGCAGCTGCCAGGGGACAGAAATTCACGGACAACCCTCTCCACCTGCGGCCTAAAGATATGGTTGATTTTAGGATCCACCACCTGGGCCACAATCCTGTCCACTCCCTGCTCCAGCATCCCAGATCTAAGAGACACAGATTGCGGTAAGTTTAGTTCATGTCGACAAGCCAGAACGAGAAGGAATACTATGTCTCACTTACTGCAGGACAAGCTGTCTGATGTTGTTTCTCAGTTGGTTTTTGTTCAAATGAGGGCTCCATGTGTGATTGGAGAGGTGATTGGAGACAAAGTTGTCCACTCGTTGTTTCAGATTCAAGTAGGCTGGCTGTAAAAGATTTGAATGTTTCCATTACAAATATCACTCCCAGGCACACAAAGGAGAACATCACTGCAAATGGACATTACATGCTGAAATGAGACTTCAGACCTGACTAAAAACAGTTGAAATTGATAGGTTTTTAGGAATGGCTTGGAGATGAACAAAAAAAGCAGGAGTCCTGAGCTGGAGGTGGCAGAACCGTAGATGGGAGCGACAAGGACGGACAAGCAGAAATGAGTATATTAGAGAGATATTTCAGGTTGAGTGTATTGGAGAGAAAGTTACAGAGATGGTTTGGACATGCACAGAGGGATAGTGGATACACTGGACAAAGGATGTTGAATTTTTAACTGCCAGGCAGGGGGGGAAAGGAGAAACCACAGAGAAGTTTAATGGATGTAGCGAAAGTGGACATACAGTAGTACACACATTTAGTAGCCTCAATTAAAAGGTAGCTTCTGTAGCCAAGCTGAGACCCCAGTGTCAAAACAGCTTCAACAAAAATACAGATAACGCACAACAGATAGTCCCCTAAACTGAATTTTACACTCATTAAGTAAAACACCGTCAAATAATGTGTTATGAGCATGCTTTTAGTGCTTACCTTTGTGTCAACGTCTGCCAAACAGTCCCTCCGGAACTGGTCAAAGAGTCCCTGGGTTTTTAAATGATTTACGATCATTGAGACCAGCTGCGGATCTCCCGGTGGTAAACCAGCCATGTCTCAATTTAGTTGGCTTAGAATTTGGTGACTAAAAGCGATAAGGCTGTCAATACATCAGGTAAATTCCGATCACAGAGCACCAGCCTTCTGTTTATGGTTTGTGAAGTTCGAAGCAAGGGTGACCCGGAAACACCGCCTGTCCTGTCAAAAGAAAACCTTAGCCGCTTCAGTTGAACCGGAAGAGTTATGAAAGCATTCTTCTATATCAAAATAAAAGCGCCACGGTTAAAAAAAATAGACATTAGGCGAATTAGTTATTATTTTAGCCAGGTTTAAAATCTCGAGTTCTCAGTTTTTCATGAACCTTGTAATATTTAGCGGGGCATACAGCTACTGAAATGTATTGAGCTAACTCTTGGTTATCTGACATGTTTTGTGCATCTCTGCCGATATAACTAGGCACTGAACACTTTGTGTGGCACTGTCTAGCGGTTTGAAACTGCAAGGTGTATTCAAACCCAGACGTTTTGCAGGTTATATGTGTAATTTGTGATTCCGAGTGACAAATATAGCAACGAAACTGATGGTTTCCAAACATAATAATTTCTGCGGTAACGGTTAACTATCAGTGAGATTATTTTGTGTTACTTTTAATTAACATTTGCAGTTTAAGTTAGAGCGCTCATTTTACAAAATTTGACACACGAGAGAAAAAAAATTAAAGTCCAGCTGTTATTGCGGACTGTTCTTTCGAAGTGAGAGAATTGTGTGAGAGCAAAAGTAATGGCAGCGGTGGGATTCGAACCCACGCCCCCGAAGAGACTGGAGCCTTAATCCAGCGCCTTAGACCGCTCGGCCACGCTACCGTGTGAATTTAGGTTTTGAAATTAGCATATACCTACGACAATACTACTGAAATTAACTCTTATTATATTATAACCATTTTTTCTTTTGCCGTTTCATTCTTCTTAGGACAGGCTGGAATACTCCTTTTAGGATTTTAACCATTTTTGTATATTATATTGGTACTGATAGCTACCTCATTTTCTGCAATTTGGTAATGCAATTGAACATTTTACAGGGAAAAGGACAAATCAGATATGTTAAGTGTTTTC